GTTTTCAGTGACAAGAGATTGCAGGGGCATGGCAATAGCAGTGGGGAAAGGGGAGGGAGAAAGTTGACCTTCTTTGGTTCTTGCCAACTTCCTAGTCCTTGGTTCAGACCCATCTGAGGCCCTGAATTTCCTAACACACCTCACTGTTCTCTTACATAGAGGTTTAGGCAGGTTCCTTGTCAGTAAAATAGCTTGAAGATACTGGCTTGTGTGTTTTTTTATATAAAGAATAATGTCACCTTTTTTAAAACATGCTAACACATTCTGTTGAGCAGCATGCTTTCAGCCCTTTTGGAATGGGAATGTTTATTCTGTGCCATTGCATGTTGGAAGTATGTAATTTGCTTTTGCTTTTACAGAGGGTTATAGAGATTGCCTTGAGTCAGAGAAGACTTTAGACGTTAGATTCTTAAACACTTTGGAAACTGTAGGACTATGGGAATTTCTAAAGTTAGACTAAATGCGCTTGGCATTATGATGTGGCTACAGGCCTGTGAGGTGCAGGGAGTGGAAAATAGTGGTTTGAATGAGAATGGCTCCCATAGGTTCATGTTTGAATGTTTGGTTCTCATTTGGTGGACTGGTTAGGGTTATGAGGTGTGGCTTTGTTGGAAGAGGTGTGTCACTGGGGATGGGCTTGGAGCTTTCAAAAGCCCAGGCCAGATCCTCCCCTCTCTCTCCCGCTGTGGATCAGATGTAAGCTCTCAACTACTGCTCCAGCGCCATGTCTGCTTGCTGCCATGTGCCCCATCATGGATTTATCTTCTGAAACTGTAAGCCAGCCCCTAATTAAACACTTTTATTTTATAAATTGCCTTGGTCATGGTGTCTTTTCACAGCAACGGAAAAGTAACTAAGATGGGTCCATTTACTTGGAATATCCTTTTCTATTCTTTTAGTGTGAGGATTAATGATCCTATTAATCTATTAATGATGATAAGGTGTGTTTCTTGAATGCAACAGAAAGATGGACCCTGCTTTCTAATCCAATATGCTAGTCTGTCTTTTTATTGGGGGCAATTGAGATCATTAATATTGAAAGCTGTCAGTGAATAATATTTCTTGATTCTTGTGTTTTGTTATGATGTGGGTCCCCCTTTCTGATTTATTGGTCTGAGATTATTTACTTCTTGTGTTTTCCTGGGTGTGGATAACCTTTTCAGACTGAAGATTTTTTTTCTAGTGCTTTCTGTAGAGCTTGACTTGTATAGGTACTGATTAAATTTGTTTTTATCATAGAATGCTTCTCTTTCTCCATCTATTATGTTTGATAGCTTTTCTGGTTAGTCTAGGCTGGCTTCTGTGGTCTCTCAGTTTGTAGAACATCAGGCCAGTCCCTTCTGGTTTTCAGAGGTTCCGCCAAGAAGTCAGGTGTTATTCTAATGGGCCCACCCGTATATGTTACTTGGTCCTTTTTTCTTAAATCTTTTAGTATTCTTTGTTCTGTGCATTTAGTGTTTTACCATGTGTTGTGGGAAATTTCTTTTCTGGTCCTCTATATTTGGTGTTCCAAATGCTTCTTGTGCCTTAATAGGCATCTCTTTTTTCAGGTTGGGAAAATTTTCTTCTGTGATTTTGCTGAAAATATTTTCTGTACCATTGACCTGTTCCCCCCCGCCCTCTTCCTATATCTGTAGATTTGGTCTTTTCATAGTGTCCTAGATTTCCTGTATGTTTTGTGTCTGGATTATTTTAGATTTAACATTTTCTTTGACCAAACTATCAGGTTCTTCAATACCCGATTCACTCTTCCATGTCTGTTCATGAGGCTTCTTCCCTCTGGTGTTATTCTTTGTCATCCTAAAATTTTCATCTCCAGTTTTATACCAGTTTGATATTTTTGTGTGTGATTATGCTAGCTAGTTTTATGTCAACTTGACACAAGCTAGAATCATTAGAGGGAATCTCAATTGAGAAAATGCCTCCATGAGATGGGGTTTTAGGCAGGCCTCTAAGGCATCTTAATAAGTAATTGATGTGGGTAGTGCCATATCCTCAGCTAATGGTCCTGGCTCTATAACAAAGTATATTGGGCAAGCCATGAGAAACAAGCTAGTAAACAGAACTCCTCCGTGGCTCTTTATCAGCTCCTGCCTCTGGTTCCTGCCATGTTTGAGTTCCTGTCCTGACTTCCCTCAATGGACTGTGGTATGTGAGCCAAATCCCTTTCTCCCCAAGTTACTTTTATCATAGTGTTTCATCAGAGCAGTGAAGACAGTGATTCTATTTCTACTTTCGTGTCTTGACCTGTTTTCATTATTTCACTCAACTATTTCTTTGTATTTTCATAGTTTTGCCTGAGGGATTTATTCACATCCTCTTTAAGGCTCTTGACCATACTCACGGTTGTTATTTTGAAACCCCTGGCATGTGCTTCAGATATATTGCATTTCTTGGGGTCTACAATGTTCTGGTGGAGGCGAACTGTGCATTTGTTTTTGCAGAGTCCAGGCATGTGAAGTTATGGGATGTTTCTTGATGTTGCTATCTTGTCTTGTTTTGCTGAGTTGCTGGTGCCTTCTCTGGAGCCTAGGCAAGACTGAGGATCCTCGGTAGAGAGCGTCTTTAGGTCGGTGAGGGCAGATGAGTGAGGAGAAGAGGCTGAAAGGGCTATGGGTACATGTTAGAGGGATTGTGTCTGCACCAAGAATCTCAGGCTCAAGGCAGTAAAGGTGAAATGAGTGGAGGTTCCTGCAGGGAGGTTGAAGTAGGACAACTGGAGAGACAGAAAGGAAAAGGCTAGGGAACCCTGAATCTGCACCAAGAGGTGGAGTTCTCCTGAATGGAGCTAGGATGGGAAAAGGGGCTTCACCAAGCAGACTGCTACAGGACTGAGAGTGGACATCTGGAAAGATAGTGAAAATTGTCTATCAGAGTACCAGCCCAGTGTGGCCGTTGGCGGTTCCTGGTGAAAGTGTTTCTGTGAATCTATGGCTGACAAAAAGGAATGGAGACAGTCTAGAGGGAAGGCTGACACAGCTTACTATTTGATGTGATTTATAAACATAAGCCTGCTACTATATGTTATTGAAAGTAACATGACACAGACATTTATCTCCTATGGCCTTTATCCTAGTAATACACTTTTGGTGTAAATCTTATACACTAACTAAAACAAAATATATATACATACTTTGTTGTTGTTGTTTTTACAGAAACCACTCTTGCAGGATATACATCCCGCCAGCCCTCCCCAAGCAGTTAACACTGGTTATAGTCTCTCCCGGTGAACAATGAGACACAAGGCATGCCTGGAAAAGACAGGTGATACTCAGACCAAAGTCTATCTCTGGTCCCAGCTCCTACTGACATCTGGGTCCCTGGTATACCTGAACCTCCATATCTTTTTTTTTTTAACTTTAAAAAAACAAACAAACAAAAAAGAAACTGCTTTTCTAATCTCGTGTGTATCTGTGTGTGCACGCATGTGGTATATATGCACATGTATGCAGATGTTGAGGCTGCTGCTCCTGTCCCACATCTTCCTCTATTTAAACCTGAAGTTCATGCTAGTAACCCCTGAAGTTGGTACCCTTTGCTTTCTGATACCATTTTTCTTAAACTCCTCGGTTGGTGTTCTAGTAGACAGTTTTCACTCTCCTACTATGCCAGTACCAGATGCTTTAAATTCCTTGTCTGTTGACCTAACATATGAGACATTTTTGAAATCCCATTTGAACTGACTGCCTTTTCTCTTTATTATGGAATCCTTTTTCCCTCTTGACCATGCGCGTCATTTTCCTGCTCTCCCCATTCCTGCCTCTTGTTCTATACTAGCCATGAAGAACAATATGGTGCAGAGTCTTGGTTTTGTTAATATCTGCTAAAGTACCAATTTTGTTCTATCAGATAATCAGACAGGCCGGGATCAAACTGCGATGTTTATGACAGGCCACAGCTGAAGGCTGCTCAGAGATTCCTTGTCTCTTAGCTGTTTGCGTTCTACCAGGCTGCAGGTAGTCTGCCTTATAGATAGACTCATAGGTCAGGGATCATCCATTAACTCAGTAACACTTACACACAGATCATGACATGTCTCCCTATGTGGCTCACTTCCTTCTGAGCTATATCCCTCTGCTCCAGTTTGTCTAGAGCCCTTGTGTTCACCAGGGCAGCAGGACTGTAGCCTTCAGTCTAAGTTCCAAGCTGCTTCTATCATTACCTCCAAACAGCTTTTACATGAATAAACATGAAACGTTAGGTTAAAAATTCATTCCATTGTATAGTACAAAACTACAGTCAACAAAGCTTTAAACAGCAGGAGACACTAGCTGTAACCACGGGAAAGCAAATTGCCAATAGCAAGGCAGTGATGTCTCTGTCTAACAGCATGGCCTCAAGGAGCCCTATGGAGGCAAGGAAAATATGGGACCAGGAACAAAGTAGCAACTTTTGGGAATATATCAGAGGGAGACAAATGCAGTGACAGAAAGTATCTACAAGCAGCAGGTAGGATATACTTCATGGGGTAGAAGAGACTACACAGTCCATAGTGTGTCTCAAAAGTCTCAAAGTAAAGAGCACTAACTCAAAGAACCATTAACAACAGTGACAGCAGCCCAAAGTAGTCTTCTGCTGATATTAAACATCACAGAACACATCCTAAGGGCAAACAACCCCAACAGGTTTTTTGTTTTTGTTTTTTGAGAAAGGATTTCTCTGTGTTACACTCCTGGCTGTTCTGGACTTGCTTTGCAGACCATGTTGGCCTTGAACTCACAGAGATCCACCTACCTCTGCCTCCCTGAGTGCTGAGATTACAGGCATGCACCACCACACCTGACTAAATTTCATGTTTTAACTCTAAAAATATTCTCAAGTGACATTAACTCCGGGATTCTTGCTTCCGAAGACACGCTTGTATTTTTCACCGTATCCTGAAGACATCAAAGATCCTCAAAAGGGAAAGCCCCCATCACAAAGCAATTTTCTTCTAAGGGTTTTTGTACTTATGCAGCAAGGCCTAGAAGAAGCAGCAATAGAAAGCCGAGGAGGAGAGGCACAGGTAAGATGACTTTATCTGGCAAGTTTGTAAAATGCCGTTCATGATTTAGCAGAGGGGACAAGGAACAGGTTCCATACTGCTTCACAATCACTTCCGTTGCTCATTCTGATATTTCATTCCAATGAGAGCTGCACACTGTCAGCTTGGCTTTGTGGCTGTTGATATTCATACTTTCTTGCTATGAAAAAAAATAACAAGAAAGATAAAGCATAAAATAATTACTAGTTAATGTCATTAAATCTTACAGTAAAATCATGGTGCTTGGTAAGAAATCAGTTTAGAATTACACTATTTACTTTTAAAATTATGTTTTTATTTACACTTTGAGAATCATACGTACATATGCATACAATATATTTTGATCACAATTACTTCTCTAGTCCCACTTCTTCCAGACTCCATCACTGCACATTTCCCTTCCTACTTCATGTCCTTTTTTTTTTTTTTTCTTTTTTTAAGCATCAATGCCCAATTAGTGCTTTCAGTATGTCCATAGTGCACTGATCCATAGGCAACCTACCAGGGGCCACTTCCCTGAAAGAAACTGCCTACCTCAGCAACCAACAACCATCAATATCTCTTCTGCCAGAGGCGGGGCTTTGTCACCCGTCCTTCACCCAACTGAAGTAAACTGGCTTGATCTTGTTCAAGCAACCAGTCACCGTGAACTCATGGGTGCAATATCCTGTCCCATCTGAAAACACTACTTTGCAGTTCTTCAAACTCTGGCTCTTACCATCTTTCTACCCTCCCTCCTCCTTGATGACTGCTGAGCCTTGTGGAAGGAGGCTGACAGAAATGTTCCACTTAGGACCGAGGACTCAGTAATAACTTATTTTCCGTACTTCGGTATCACCACCTTTTGGGTTTTACTATATTTAACTTATAAGCCTACAGGCTTACTGAACATAAAGGTCATCACTATTAGCTAGAAGCAAAACCAAACACAATTATTCTTGCTAAAAATTATCTAGTAAAGAAAAAATATCTTAAGCTGAACCTGAAGATGACAAAGCTAAAATGATTTGTTATTCAACTATTTAGCTTTAAATCTTACAGCTAAAAAATTTAAGTTTTTACTAGCCAAAAAAGACATTATCTTGTTTATGCTACTCAGGGTAAATACAGGTATGTGTGGCCTGAAGCTTATATGTTGGGCATGAAAAAGCAATCCTGAACAAAAAGGACACTACAGGACATATTCCTAATTTCCAATTAAACCAAAGACAGAGCACTGAAAACAGCATGGCACACTGACACAAAAACAGATGCACAGACCAAGGGAACAGAATTGAGGACCCAGATACAAGTTCACACACCTACAACTACTAAATTTTTTACAATAATGCCAAAAACAATGGAGAGGAAAAAAAAAAAAAAAGAAGAAGAAGAAGAAACCCAGCATCTTCAATAAATGGTGCTGATTTCAATGTGTAGAAAGTAAAATTAGATCCTTAATTCCCACCCTGCACAAAACTCAACCTCGAGGATTCAACCTCGAGGACCTCTACGTAAGACATACCCTGAAACTTCTGGGGGAGAGGAGTGCGCTTCACCTTACAGACACAGATAAAGAATTCTGAGTCAGACGCCGACAGCGCGAGAAAGGATCAACAACGGACGAATGAGACTTCAGGAGAGCAGAAGGCTTTTATCCAGCAAAGGAAACTGCCAATCAAGCCCACAGAGCCTCAGTACACCACTGCTGTCTAGCCATCCGACCAAGGATTAGTGGCTGAATTACACAAAGAACACAGAAAAGAAAACACGAAAACATAAATAACCCAACTTAGAAACGGGCTATGGAACCGAGCAGAATTCACAGAAGAATTACAAATAGCTAGTAAATGCTTTACAAAGTGCTCAACAGGAAGAAATTGCAAATTAAAATTACTTTAAGATTCTATCTCACTCCAGTCAGAATGGCCATCATCAGAATGCAAATGACAAATGGATTTGACAAGAAGTGTACTCTTATACACTGTTGGTGGGAGTTCAAACCAGTGCAGCAACTCTCTAAGAAGCCAGAAATAGAACTGTCATACGACCCAGCTACCGCACTCCTTGGCATGTACCCAAAGAACTTTAGAACCTACTACAGACACACTTGCCCATCCATGTTCACTGCCAATAGCTATGAAACAAAATCAGCCTAGATGTCCATCAACAGATAGAGAGTGGAAATGTGGTACATTTGTACAATGGAATGTTAATAGTAGGGAAAAGATAAAATCATGAAATCTTCAGGAAAATAAATGGAACTAGAAAACAAAATATACTAAGTGAGGGAACTCAGGCCCAGTAAGGCAAATGTCATATGTCCACTCTCATCTGTGGAGCCTAGTTTCAAATATTTTGTTTTATGTGTTTAGCTTGGACTCAAGTAGAAGCCAATGGACCAGAAAGCCTCTGCTGGGGGTGGTGCATTAAGGAGAGATAGTAAACAATGGTTGGAAAGGCTTATGCAAGGCGGGGCATGAGAGAAGGAGAAAATGGGAGAAGGGTTAACATAAAGGAGTAGAATATGAAAGGCTACATGAAAACCTAGTATCTCACAATCCAATTAGAAATATGGTTGGAAGGAAAGTGGGCAGGGCAGCAGGGTGCAGAGCAACAGAGGAGAGAAGGCGACAGCGGGTGGGTTAACCAAAACTAAGAATGTATGAAATGGTCTCAAAAAAAAATACACTAGTTAGAAAGATAATTTCAAAATAGCACTGTGAAAAAAGAAAATGTTTGAAAGGAGGTACCCTGCGTGGGTGGACAGTGCTGCTCCCGGAATCCATAGTTTTTAAAAAAAAAACTGCAGTGTAGGGCATCGGATACCTCTCTATGAATTACTGGCCCCAGAATTCTCCAGAGCAACACAGGCTGTTGGTTACTCAATGCAACAACACAGTAAGACCCAATTGTTAAAACGCCAGACTCAGGCTACAACACACAGAGAAATAAATCTCAAAGGGAATAGAGAACTTCCTCCCTACTAGCTAGCTTTCACAGTGCTTGAAGACACTGTGCTGGGGCAGAAAAGACATCAAAGCTCTTACCCCATGTTAAGGTAAAATGCTAAAATGCTGACCTGCCACGTAAGATGTATCTATTGCTGTAATAGTGGCATGACTATTGTGAAGTAACCAATAATTTTCTAGTTGGATTTGGGGTCTACTCCACAGGTGGCTATTTCATGCCTGGTACTATAAATCTGGTCAGAATCTCATGACTGGAAACCTAATTCTGTTTTTGCTAAAAAGTCAAGCTGTCAAGTTGCCTTCTAACAATTTATGTTTCTACTCATGGACCTAGGCTGCTCTCAGCCTTGGTTATGGTATCTTCGTTTGGCAGTTGGCAGCAGTCAATGAAGGAACTCATAACTGCTCAAAGAACCAAGGATAAGTAATTAGTGCTTCAATGGGACACCTTGAAATTTGTTTGTTTTTTATTTAATATATACAGGTATTTTATCAGCATGTGAACTATGTGTGTGTGCAGTATCTGAGGCTAAAAGAAGAAACGGAGTTATAGATGGTTATGAACCACCATGTGGGTGCTAGGAATTAAACCTGGGTCTTCAAGAAAGAGCAGCCAGTGCTTGTAATCACTGAGCTACCTCTCTGGCCCTTCAGTGAGACATCTTTATCAAATAACATCCTCCATCACTGCTAAGGTTCAGAGAACACTGCAGAAGAGAAGATGGAAAGAACATAAGAGACAGAGGGTGGGGAGAAGCACTGTGCAATTAATCCTTCTGAAAATAGCTATTGTAGCCATGAACTCATGGGACAGCACTTACCCACTCAAGAGGCACAGAAGATCAAACCAACTAAAACTTGGGCATGCATGGAGGGGGCTATCTCAAGGTCCTAGCCTTCAGTGAGTAGTTGTTAGCAGTTAAGAGCTGGCTGAGTGAGGGAGACTCATTCTTTGAGGGTATGGCTGCCGGGAGGTGACCTATGCTCTAGTGGATAGCCCCGTACCTATGTACACACAGTCAGCAGTAACTGAACTTAGTGGGTTTGTTGTTTTGTTTCATTTTTAGAAGAGAACTTGAGGCTGTAAGAGGGGGTTGCTGTGAGAAATCTGTGGGAGTTGCAGAGGAATGGGAGGCACATATTGAAAGAAATTAGTTATGGTCCATTTTTAGTGTGAGGTCTGTTCAGCTCTCAACAGAGAATGCAGATAAGCAGGAGGCACCAGAATCTACCTTTCCTAGATAATGGCTGGCACCTGCATGTCTAGGATTGAAAGTCACAGGCAGACTGCCACTTGACTGAGCCCATATACAAAAAGAGGAGAGGATTAAGAATGCTCCAGGATATTCATTAGATAAGGCTGTGTCTGCAACCAAAAGGATGGGAAAGCTGGGTAGAGAGTAAAACTAAGGTACTGAGAAGATTGTATTTCTCTAAAGAACTCAGCCGATGAGAATGAAAAGGGGCAAAGAATTGCAACAAGGGATATAAAAGCCACTGTTCTATGCCAAATAGGAGCAACAGCCATTTTTACCTTTTGTATAGGCTGGCTCCCAGTTTCTACAAACTAAAAATAGATCTGTCTTGCTTTTCCTACTTTGAGACTCCACTGTCCTTATTATGAAGTGAGAGGAATTGTTTCTCACAATCTTGGAAAGGAACATCTCTCAGGATTGCTGTATTTGGAAAGAGAAGCCTTGATCTTGAGAGCAGAAGATGCATCCTGCCCCACCGTTGGGTGGACTACTCTGCCAGACCTCAGTCTCCTGCCAGTCCTCAGTCTCTCCTCAACATTTCAAATAAAACCTAAGAGGATTTTAAAGAGAAGTGAGGCTAAGTTATCTATGTTCCCCTCAAAAAATGACAAGAAGATCCAGTTGAAAAGTCCAGGATAACATGGGTATGGTGGCGCACGCCTGTAATCCCAGCTACTCAGGAAGGCAGAGGCAGGCGGATCTCTGTGAGTTCGAGGGCAGCCTGGTCTACAAAGTCCAGAACAGCCAAGGCCACAGAAAAACTCTGTCTCAGGAAACAAACAAACAAAACAATAAGAGTCCAAGATCCCCTGTCTTGTTCACTATGTCTTCATGTCTTCTACAAAATGAAGAACTAGGGCAGCCCCAGGCTGGGTGGGGTTGAGGATAGGGGTCTTGGCATGCTTTTCAGTTGCTGTGGTAAACACTACGACCAACGCAACTCGGAAGGAAGGGTATACTTCAGCTTACAGTTTATAGCTTATCATCAAGGGAAGTCAAGGCAGGGAATCCTGGAGTCAGCAACTGAAGCAGAGACCAGGGAGGTTAATACAAAAAGCCCAAAAATTGATGGTCCATTTATAGACTAGCTGAAAGGATTTAAAAAATTAGGAAGGGTTGATGGCTTCATTCTCAATTTTGTAACTGTAATTGTAACTGTAACTAATTATATATATATATATTAATAGTTAATATACTATGAAGAACTATATATAGGAATTCATATATATGAAGAATTATATATATATATTAATAGTTAATATACTATGAAGAACTATATATAGGAATTCATATATATGAAGAATTATATATATATTAATAGTTAATATACTATGAAGAACTATTAACTACAGTAGAGTGATACATTATTCTCTGTGTAAGAGCACTAACAAAAAACATTAAAACAGCAGTTAACAAATGCCAAACGTATCAACATAACCTAATACTTGAGATACTAGACCAGACCATCGATACTATGATAAGAGTCAAAATGTTAGAACAATTGAAAAAGTTAAAATAAATCTAAAAAGAAGACCAGTGCTTCACAAATTATTTTTTAAAAATAGAATTGCTGCTGTAAACAATGAATGAGGATTTTTATGAGAGGAAATAGGTTGTTCTATACATCATGATGGATAGACATTGACTCTATTCTTTTGTTTTTTTAGATGTGTTTTGTTTTCAACTGATACCTAATAATTCTACATACCAACGAAATAAGCAATGTGATTCTTTGGTACACAAAATAATTTGTGAAGCACTTCATTCAATTTATTTAGTAAAATTAAACTAATCTTACTTTCTGGAAAATCAGAACTAGAGAGAGGATAATCAAATTTCAAATTAGTCCACTTTCATTTGGCATGAGAATTTTAGGAAAAATAACCTAAAATAATCTAATGTCAAAGTGTGAGATGAAATAACCCCGTTTTATTTTCTGTAAAATTTTGTGTCATACCTAAAAAAGGCATTGCCAAAGTCAAGAAAGTTTGTTTTTTGTTTTTTTGTTTGGTTTTTGTTTTTGTTTTTGTTTTGTCAAAAGGGAATTCTATAAAACTGATGTGTTAAATTGTAATATGGAGAATAAATGTATTATTTCTTCTAAAAAAAAAAAAAAGACCAGTAAGTTTAAAAAGAAAGAACAGAATTTAAGAAATAAGTTTTTGTGGTCTGTTTTCAGCATGAGGTGCATTTAGTTCGTCAGAGGACAGACAAGCGAAAGGCACAGGGCCACCTTTCCTCTCCGGCAGCTGGTACAGGAGCTCCAGGCTCAGGCAAGAGCTGAGACATCCGGTGGCTGCCACATTACTGAGCCCATGCATCAAAAGAGAGGGAACCTTCCCTCTCAGATGTTAATTAATGATGGTTCTATGTCCTGAACCAGCAGGATTGGGAATCTGGTGAAGGGAAATATGAGACACTGGGAAGACTGTAGCTCCATAAAGAATTATCCCAATAAAAACTAAAGGGAACAGAAAAATACAATTGGAGACATAAAAATCACTGTTCTGTGCTGAATCAGTGTGGCAGCCATTTCTGCCCTGTGTTTTACCTAATACCTTGCTTCCAAAAATAAATCTGTCTGACTTTCACTACCCTGAGATTCCAGTATTATTAGGAAGTGAGGATTATCGTTTCTCATGATATGATCACAATTTATTGTACACAAGAAAATTCCCAACAAAGAATTTTTTAAACTAAAATAAAAAAGAACAAAATAAAAAGCACACATACACCATCTCAAAGAAGAACAAAAAAGTAACTCTCCAGTCTTTCCACATTAAACTCCACATAGCAATCAACACATATGTGAGCTCAACAGGCTGGTATGAATCTCCATGCTGGCCTCATCAGACGGAGCACTTACATTATACATATATGTATATACTTACATTACATATAGATAATAAAAGGAAGTGCTGTTTACTTGACTTTTCAACATTGTGTTACTTCCTTGATGCTCCTGCAAATACTTAGCGAAAGTAACTTAAGAAAAGTAGGGTTTGTTTAGCTGCACAGTTTTAGGACACAGCCCACTTGGCAGGGAAGATATGACCGCTGTACTGACAAGGAACGGTCATTGCAGTCTCATCTGACATAGAGAGATGGACGCTCCCACCCGGCCGGCTTCCTCCTTTCCACTCTATCCTTGACTTCAGCCCAAGTCATAATTCCATGCTACATTTGGAGTAGATCTTCCCCCCTCAATTAACCTGATGTAAAGACTCCTTCAAGACCCACCCAGAGCTTTGTTTCCTTGGCGAGATGAACCTGGCATCCTAGTGTAAGCACCATCTTGTCCTACTTAAGGCACCATGGAAGGTGCCTTCGTCTTTTATAAAAGACATCAATGTACAGTTGATTCTGGGCCTGTACATTTAAAAATGTCTTTCTTCTTCTCGGTTTCATGTGATCAGTACCAAAGGATGTTTCAATATTGTTCAAATGTAACTTCTGACTTTGCACCTTGATCTCACAATTCCTGAAAGCCGTTCATATACTAACAACATTGGTGTTCAGCTGTTTGACCATTTCAATGTCATCCCAAATGAGAAGTACAAAAGAGGGAAAATTAAATGAGGAAGAAATGGAGTTATCAGTTGGTGATTACAGTCTCAATTACTGTAAAGCTTATAAGAATATGATCACTTCTCAAGGCCACAGAAAGGCCTCAGGAAACAGGATGGCAAAGGATTTAACAGCCACAACTTTGGGATAAATCTGCCTAACTGAAAAAGGTCTAAGTTTTTATAAACAACCATGTTTTATAACCTTTTGTTAACTTAGCGCAATAGAAAATCTATTTTAAACATATTATGTATATAGCTTGGCACAGAATATACTTACAAATGGAATGCATTTCCACTTGTTGTCTTAAGCGAATTTTGCTCATTGTGTCATAAAAACTGGGCTCTGACAATGTTTCTTCCAGAGGTGGCACACTAAATATTCTCATAATTTTCCTCTTATTCCTAAAACACAAAACCAATGCAGATTTGTTCTTAATACCTATATAATTGTCTCATGATCCATTACAAGAATGAAACAAACATTTTTTGTAAAGTACTCTAACTTTCACTAACATATAAAGCTCTCTGTAGCGCTATAGCAGCATGAAGGAAAAAAGATGTTCCATGCATTACAGTATGCACAATACTGTATTGTTAAATGGTATTACCAAAGGAGGCCCTTTCATTGGGATCTCCCTCAACTCTTAGGAAAGTTGGTGTCTTGAAAACAACAGCATACAAACAAGAAGGCATGTCCTTTTCCTCCCTCTCATGACATTCAAATAAAGACAAATCACTGGGGTAGGGAATATACCTGATGTGAGCAGACCTTAGTTTGAGAAATTCATGAATAAAAATGTTCCTTAATGAAAGAGTTTCATGGGATATCTTTTTAGAAACAAGAGCAGTGCATCTCTGCTTTTAAAGGGAAAGTGGGAAGGAGGCGGCAGCTCTTTTGAGAGAAAAGTTGTCACATGCAAGTGGGTCTGGGACGACATGTGGCACCTTCTGCCACCCACACCCTCAGTCCAGCCACTGACAGGGAGCTACATGGCACACAAGGGCAAGCACAAATGGGTGAGGTATATCCAAGGCCAAACAGAAATTATTTCTGGAGTACTGATTATTATGAATTACTTAATGCCTTTTTAAAACCTAAGTAGAGAATGAAGTATATATCTACAAACAGATTACTGATTTTCCTCTCTAAAATACACCCTAGCCATCATCATGACCGTCATCTTCATCAAACACCATCATCACCACCATCATCATCTTACCAGTACCACCATGATCATCATCACCACCATCATTAATTCTATTACTGTTTTGCTGGATTTGGGGGGAAAGAATCCAGGAAGAGTTAAAAGGGCATTTAAATTAAGCTTTGGTAGAAATGAAGGCAGTAAAAGAATTCAGACCATGTAGCATATCAATGACACAAAGATAAAAGAAACAGTCCTTGTTCTTAAAGAACTGATTTTTTAATAAATAGACAGAGAAGTAGTGTGCTGGTTTCTTGTTACCTTGATGTAAAGCTAGAGTCGTCTGGGAAGACAGAACCTTGGTTGAGGGGCTGCCTCTATCAGACCGTCCCTGCAAGTTTCTGGGGGCATTTTCTTGATTAGTAACTGATGTGGCAGGGCCTTGTTCCCTGTGGGTGGGTGGCTTTAGGTTGCATAAGAGCAAACTGGGCAAATCATAGAGGACAAGCTGTAAGCAGTATTCTTCCACAGTCCCTGCTTCAGTTTCTGTCTCTAGGTTCCTATCTTGAGTTTTGTACTGATTTCCCTCGAGGACTGTGGCCTGGGGCAAGCTCTTCCCTCTGCAAGCTGCTTTTGGTCCTGATCTTTATCACAGCAACAGAAGCAAACTAATACAAGTGCCATGTATAAGAATCAAGGAAAAGGCCAAACGGGTGATGAGAGGTTTGCAAACTATGTAAGTGTTGAGTATTTCTGCATTTCAGACACTTGGATGAAAAACCCTTTAAAGTGCGCTCATGGCAAGCGGACAATGTACCAAAGCTGACGATAGAGACAGGCTACTTTAGAAGTGATAGCACCCAAACTTTACAGCAACAGGTCCTGTTACCCAGAACTGAATATGGAATTTTCAAATCAAACCTCAGTCACCAGTGCCAACACAGACAGCCCCTTTCAGTCCAGGAACAAGATTGCTGAAGAAATATTTTTATGCATTCAATTTAGCTAAAACTACAGCAAACAAACCACATCACAATCCTTTAAAACTCTTAAGTGCTCAGTTTCTTATCTACCCTTATTTACCTCTTGGCATACATGAAGAGACCAAAGCTAACAAGGATCACTATCAAGTAAACATTGGTGGCTTCGTTCCAGGCTTCATGGACTGTGTAATCAATAGAGCCGTCATCATCCATCACACTATAACTTCCAGCCATGGGATCTGTAAGAAAGGACCAAAAGTGGGGTTGGCTAAGACATGGTCACCGACTGTTGTATGGCACACATGATTCACACTTTGAAACAGACAGATACCATTCATTCCTCGCATTTACTTTTGGGGTGCTCGGGATCAAACTCAGGTTATAATATATTAAGCATGCTCCCTACCCTAAGCTACCCTACAGTTTCTAAGCAGGTACACTTTGTGCCTAAATACTTCAATTTTCCTCAATATTTACAGAGTCTAAAAAAGTATCCTCAGTTTGGCTCTTTTAGGAAAAGGTAATTGATACCAGATTTAGGTCATAAAGGCACAAAACATATAATTTTCCTCATTTTTTATTTTGAAATATTATAACTCTTACAAAAATGTTAAAATGTAGAATAAAAAAAATACTGCCAAAAGAAGTGAATTTGAATTGCTACTGCAGCTTCCAAACTGTAGCTGTCATTCAGATGAAAACAATGGGACCCTTCAAAAACACAGACCCAAACAATAGCTGGGATTCTGAGACCAGTCTCTCTCATGACATCAACCTAAGGAAAAAAAAAAAACAAAACATCATGACCACACTAGCTGCTCTTCATGTGCCTCCCAGCGGCGCAGGCCCAAGCTTTGCCTGTTTGTCAAATCTGGCTAAAGATAAAGCTATGAGATTAAAAAGTTACTTTGCTACTTATTCATAACCATGCATTCTTTGGACATTCCCACAGAGAGCTGGAATGATCAGCACAAGTGTATCAAACAGCAAGTAGAAGAATAAGGGTTTCTTATTTATGTTTGAGAACTGAGTTTTTTTTCTTAAGGACAAAGTTCTTCCCTTGTGTTGAACATAAAAGGGATGTCTTATTAAATGACATAAAATGTAAAAGCAACTCAGAAGTGTTTCAGGCAGTCTACAAAAAGGAGAAGGGACAAAGGACAGGTGACAAAAGTACTGTAGCATTTAACAATAAGACATGTTTCAATACCAGGAGAAGAAATGACTGAGAAATTATTTACAAAGCGTTTGTGTTTTTCTTCTCTGCCTTCAACAATGAAGGTGATGCAGAGATTCTTCTCCAGAAATATCTCGCAGTCTAGTCTGTGAGCTATGCAACTATCACTAATGTGGTTTCCCTTGGTAAGTTAATTCGTCTGTTTTCCTTCTGCCCACTTGTCTGTACAAAAGGTCTGCTCTAAGCCAGGTGGCACGCTTTCTTCTTCCTCACATCTGGAGTCTCTGCCAGACGGTTGGAGACCTTGTCGTGCTCATTTAGAGTAAAGTGGACAACACAAACTGCCCTTTAGTTTGAATTCCAGACATTGCAGACAAGAGCAATTTCACGTATTGGTGTCTGATGGATATAAACACTGGTCTTGTAAAAATATTTTGGTCAAGGAACAATAAACAGAAGTTAAACTATAAAGACTTAAAACTCTAAGATCTAAATATTAGGGTAGACCTAACCCCTCAATGTTAATGACTGGAGCTATGGGCTTTCCGTTGAGTGAGAAGAACAAGAGCAGGTAACATAGTCACATGTTCAAATATTTTTTTAATTCAATTCCAGGGGTTCTCTGGATTTTTTATTTATAGTAAACAGCCAGTCTGTATTAGACATGGAGACTTCTGGAGGACCAAAAACTAGAACTGCCTTTAGTTTGTGGCATTTTGACCATTGTAAACACCAAGACACTAAAATGGCAATAACCATGATCATATTTTGAAAAATTTAAGTGTCTGATTGGAGGTGCTACAGAAAGTATAAACAATAATGCATCAACAGTCATAGCCCAACTGCAAGTTAGCACATTTAGGAAAGATACAGGGAACAATAAGGCCATGGCCACCAGGAAATAGAATGAGTGTCATTTATTTAACTGACAAATTAATGAAGTGTTTCCTAATGCCCACATTGATCTGAACCAGATTAATTTCTTGCTACAGCATTTGACAAAACCCTGTCCGTGTGCCACTGAGTGAATAATGTGCTTTTACCCAAAGCTTGGTTTCTTCCTAGTACGGCACTCTTTAATTGTATGTAGAAAGGTTTCCTGACCATTGGCTAACCCAGAGTGGAAAAAAATGTTAAGCTGAGATATATGACCAATATTATTACACATTAGTAATATACAACAGCCCTGCTACTCTGCTGGTCCTGGGATGTATGAGCTATCTTAGACCTATAGCTGTAAAAGATGTGCACTGAAGCCAGGCCTTTCCTGCTGGTCCTGGCACTATCAACGCCATACTTTGTAAGGAATGAAGTGCTCAGAGTCACAGTGCAGAAGTGTGTACTTTAACACCCCCCCCACCCCTCCACCACCACCACCACACACACACACACACACACACACACACACACACACACACACACACTGGGTGTAGTCTAACCAAGTGCGAGCATATGCACCCTAACTCTTCGATCTAAAGTAAAATGTTCAGGGGTTCATTTCTGGCAAGCTAATGCTCTAGGAGAAAGACCCTGGGAGTGACATTCAGGGCTTTTTTGGGAAAACAACTCCTTCCCTTAAGCTGTCCTGTGACATTATGCTTCAACTAGTACTGCAGATGCTAGAATGAGTTGAATTCACAAGTAAACATGAGTATGCAGAGATAATGCCGTCAAAAACGCGACCATGGGGATTTAGTTTAAGGCTGGCCTACTCTGAGGTGAAAAACCCCTTTCCCAGTAATCCTGAGACATTATCCTAACTTTTATAAAGTGTCCATGCTGAGCATCACTTGCCACCATGCCTGGAATGTGATTTCGTCCTCTCATCTGGAACTGTTATTTTCTAACAGAAATTCTGATTAAACCCAACAAAATCCAAGCTCTGTGAAGGGTAGATTCTCTCTGCTGATTTCTGAAGCGCTAAGAAGTTTGAGGTCCTAAAGCAGAAGGGCACAGGCCTTCACCCTTTCCTAGAGAAAGGAGAGCATCTGAGGCCTGTGGACTGAGCGGTGCACTTTCGAATAATTTATTATTATATTATTATTGTTATTATTATATTATATTATTTTGCAACCATCCTGCTTTGGCGCACTGCAAGTCTGTAACAGGTGACAGTGCTGTCTCTGTAACCCCAAGGCCACGCGGGTCCGGGAACGGAGGGGCAGAGGCGGCAACACAGATCCGACGCCCAAACCTGGCCTCCTCCTGCCGCCGCGTCCCCGAGCCCGTGCAATCTGCTCCAGGTGGCACACAGGACGGCGCTCTCCCGACAGGCCGTCCCACGTCCCGGCCGGCGACTCGGTGGCCACCGGGACCCTCTGCGCGCTGCAGCCCGGCTCGGCGGCCCGCAGAGGAGCCCGGGAAGACGGCGGGGACCCGAGCCGGTCTGACCCGCGAGCTCGCGGCCGGGAGGGGCGGGGCCGCCGGGGCGGGGCGGTGACGCGGCCGCGCGCGCGGGCGAGCGGGCGGGCGCTCAGCGGCTCCGGAGGTGCGGAGGCCGCCGCGCCGGACCGCTGCGCTCGGGCTGTTCCGGGAGACGCGCGGGGAGCGCGGGCCGAGACCCGGCGGACCGGACGACCTCTCCTTCGTCACTTCCTGCCGGCACGCGGTTTCCGGAGGGAACGAGAAGCCAGGTTTTGTTATTGGTTTTTCTTCCTTCCCTCTTTCGGAATCGGAGCCCGCCGCCGCCGCCGCCGCCGCCGCCGCGGCC